TATCCCACACTTCTGACACCAATTGTTACGTTATTCGGGTGCAGAAGCGAACACGACACTATTTATTTTCGAACTTATTTATTTAAACTAAAGAAACACTAATTTATATCGAACTTATAACTACAATTTATGTAAAACGATTTATAACACGCGGTATATAACTGTCTCTCTGACACTCGCTGTTTGACTGACTGACTCAGTTGTTCGGCCGTTTTATATATGAGAACACAGGCAGGCTTTGGTTCGAGAACCTTCTCGAAATGATCTTCCGTCTCCTTCTTTTTGTTCTAGAAGCTTCTTAGAACAAACCTCTCTCTCTAATTGTTCCATCGATTGTTTCCAGAACATTCCAGAATCTTCTGTGACGTTCTTTGTCACTGCGGCATATATTGAGTGTTCGGAAATATGTTGGTGTATGTAGGAATCATTGAGAGGTTGGAGAGCAATCTGGGATGCGTGATACAGGATGATCGTTGTACTCCTGCCTTCCTGCTGATGTTTCTAAAGCGCCTCCAAGGGAAATATCATTACAATATTATACCATTTGTACTGAATGTGGCTTCATCAGTGAACATGACATTTTTCAAGAACATCCTGTCATTCAAGAAGTTGCATCGTGCCCAAAAGCAAAATTCAATTCTTCTGAAGTTGTCCCCTTCCAAAAGAGTGTGCAAAAATTTTGGTTTGAATGCTTTCGGTTTATTCTTCTTAAGACATCTCCAAACTTTAGTCTTGTTTAAATTCAAATTTCGAGCAACTTCTCTGATACTTGCCTTTGGATTATTCCGAAATTCTCGTATTATTTCCAAATTTGAGAATAACAGAACAAGTGATGCATCGATGTACTTGAGACCAACAGACGAAGAGGTAATTGAAGACATCATCAACACCCTAAATACAAGAAAATCTCCAGGATTTGATCAAATTTCGGTTAATGTAGTTAAGACAGTGAAATCAGAATTATCTTCAATACTCACCAAATTAATCAATTTATCATTTACATCAGGAGATGTACCAGATAAAATGAAAATTGCCAAAGTCAGACCAGTCCACAAAACTTGTCAGAGAGATAAAATGGAGAACTACAGACCTATTTCAATATTACCAGTTATTTCTAAAATTATAGAAAAAGTAATGAATTACCGATTGCAAGAATATCTAGAGGCAAAGAAATATCTTTACAGCCATCAATATGGCTTTCGAGGGTCATGTGATACGGAGTCCGCAGTTATGGATGTTGTAACAGATTTCCAATTGCAACTAGATACAAACAAGATATGTGGACTCCTATCAATTGACTTAAGAAAGGCATTTGATACTGTAAATCATGAAATTCTCTTGAATGAATTGTATTGTATTGGTCTAAGAGGTTCTGTCTACAACTGGTTTAAAAATTATTTGAGTGATAGGAAACAATTCGTATATTTGAGAGAATCATTCAGTAAGAGCGATGAAATAGTATGCGGTGTACCGCAAGGATCAGTATTGGGCCCTATTCTATTTCTCATTTATATCAACTCTATTGCAAATTTAAAGTTGAAAGGTAAAATTTATATGTTTGCCGATGACACAACCTTAATCTATTCAGCAGGTTCAGCAAAACAAATTAGGGATGATATTTCAAGTGATTTGAAAATATTATTATCATGGTTATCATGTTATAAATTGAGTATAAATTATAGTTAATCAGCATTTATGATAATTTCAAAAAAATTAAGATATAATGAGTACAAATTTCCAATTGCATGTAATAATGAAGTCATCAAATATTCAAATTATATCAAGTTTCTTGGTCTGTACATAGATGAACATTTGTCATGGTCAAAACATATTGAAATACTTAGGAAAAAAATATCTCCAATAATAGGTATACTTTTTAGGGTACGGAACCAAGGTCCTATGAAATGTCTCAAATCTATATACTTCTCTTTGATCTATTCTAAACTTGAATATTTGATTTCTGTATGGGGTTCAACAAAACTATCATTCATAAAGCCTCTCAAAACTCTTCAAAATAAAATTATCAAATGTATATACAGACTAAATTATTCGGAACCTACTACGAACCTTTACAGAAGAAGAGAATTATTAGATATAGATTCACTATATAAATTCAAATTAATGTCGTTCATTCATTCAGTTAAACATTGTCAAAAGCATTCAAATTTGGTTTTCCAAGTCAATAGTAATCACCACAACTAACAACCAGACAAGCAGATCATTTTTCTGTCAAGAAAATTAAATCAGATATTGGTAAAAAATCCATCCATCACAATGGAATGATACAATACAATTCACTACCAAATAACTTGAAGCTGATTAAAAGGATTGAAAAATTTAAAAGAGAATTCAAGAAACATCTACTCCTGTAATATTGACATCTTATCTCATTTTTATAGTTTTCTTGTACAACTACTATAGTTTCCAATTGTGTACCTAACAGCTGAGTCAATTGAGGATAATTTTCATTTGAACTTGAAAAAAAAAAGATCCTTTTTGAGTGTGAGTCTTATTTTACTGTCTTCTTTATTTTATTTTGTCAAATATATTTATGTATTTACTATGTTCCCTGCTATAAACAAATGTTGTTTCTTGGGAATAATGAAGTTGATTGATTGATTGATTGATTGAATTTTGAACTTCGTGGTTATGTGATATGATATGTCAAACAAATTATTTATTTTTGCCACTGTTCTACTATGAATGGGTGGGCTGATTGGAAATCTGTGCTGTTCTTCCGAAACTAAGGGCATGCTCACCAACAATGCGTATAATTTCTACCTCATCATCAATAGGAAGGCACTAATATTTCGAAAACACAAAATCAATCATACAATAAGCAAATGACACTGACAATAAACAAATGATCAAATGTTTATCCTAGCCATCATGGCATACTGTATTCTAATCCAGTGTGCACTGGGCGATTTCTTGAATGACAGAATGTTCTTGAAAAATATCATGTTCACTGATGAAGCCACATTCAGTACAAATGGTATAATATCAAGTCAGAACTACAGAAAGTAGGTGGAAATTCACATATGGGGGTTTCGAACAATGATAAACATTAATAAGAGGTTAGATTTCCTGTAAACAAATGCCTAGTATGATTTTATGAAAAATCGACTCCTTTTTATATCAATAAAAACGCACGGCACTGTCCAAAATATTGCTCATCTCTGTAAAACTGATCATATCGATGGTTATCCATACCACACCAAATTTGGTTGGAATTGCATGACTAATAACTGAGGCAAAAATGCAGTTTCGTTGTGCCCGTTTTTTCAAAACCCTCCATAGAAAGTAGGTGAACATTCACATATGGGGGTTTCGAACAATGAAGAACATTAATATGAGGTTAGATTTCCTGTAAAAAATGACTAATATGATTTTATGAAAAATCGACCCCTTTTAATATCAATAAAAACGCACGGCACTGTTCAAATTAGTGCTCATCTCTGTAAAACTGATCATATCGATGGTTATTCATACCACACCAAATTTGGTTAGAATTGCATGACTAATAACTGAGATATAAAGGGAGGGCCGTTTAAAGTGAGACACGCTGTATAATCCTCTGACAACATTTGAACACCGTAGAAATGCCGGTGACCTTTCAGTTTTCTATGGATACTTCCACGTGAAATAATTCCAACACTAGCAATACCAATCAGACGAACTTGACAAGTTCAGTCAGCACATCACTTCGTCGTCAACCTTGAGATATGTCGAACAAATCTTCACCAAAACTCGTTATTTTATAGATCGGCAAATCTCTGGAATACCTTGCCGAAGGAAGTATTTCCATGAACTTATTATAATCTCCAAAAGTTTCAAAAAAATACAATACCCAACTCCTCTCCCTATCCTCCCAAAGTACGCACGATGTTTTCCGAACATTGTAGGGATTTCCTTTCGTGCGCCCCAAGAGATGAAAAATCATGCTCTAGCTAAAAAATAATTAGACGCGGATGAATAAAATTCTAGTTTTTTGATTTTCTGTTATGTTTTAACCTCCAAAATGTAGATCTGTTTTTAGAAAGAAAGTTATGATTCTTTCGGAATTGGCATTGTTCCTCACTTTCATAATTGTTGTTTCGAATGTAGTACAATGATAATTTTCTTACACATACAGGGTATTTAAAGTTAGTCGTTGATGATAACAGTTTGACCCAAATACAGACATATCCTCTCGTTCTTCAATTAGGTTGGGATCCAAAAGTTAGGATAATGAGAAATAGTTGATGACTTAAATGATTGTTAAAAATGTAAAAGTAGCAATTGGAGTAGACAAATTATATTTTTTTCAATTTTGTGCCACCTCATTATCGAAACATCTAGAATTCTCATATTTATAGGTATACAAAAGTTGTATGCGCAAACACCAGATACGTTCAGCCTCACTTATTTCCACCTGTTCTTTCCAAATTTGTACAAAAAAATTGTAATTTTGATGTACAGGGTGCTGTTTCGATTCGAAACCTACTTATTAATTCTTTCAAGGCCGGTCCTGGAATAAGACTATTCTTCATTATATCACTCGTCGCTACCGTGGACATGGAGTATTTGAATCAAATATCACAAAAATGAATAGGGTGGTTCATAAATTATGATTAATTAAAAAAATGGGGGAAATCAATAAATCACCCTGTATCTTGGTTATAAAGAATGATAGACCCATGAAATGAAGATAATTCAGAAGCACCTCGGTGTCCTCCATCTACCCTCACTGTATGCGCATTTCCCAATGAATCACCCTGTATAATAGTATGGTCAGGTGATCTCGGTTGCCAAAGATCTGGACCACTTCTTGCAATCTACTGGTGAGCAAAGTTGTTATTTAATTATTGCTCATAAATCCTGAACTATTGAGTTTGAGACAAAAGTGGATAAGCCACTTTCGACTTGACATTGTTCGAGGAATATACCCTTGAGCTATGGCCATTGAGTCACGAGACACCCTGTATATGCGAAATCACCTATTCTTGTGATTTCCACAGCATCAGAAGCCCAAACCGCAAAAGCTACCAAGATATCGGAAACAGACGATTCTATTTTCGAATCGACCAAGAAGGCATTGCCGCGTCAAAATAAGCATGACTGCGCCTGTCAGTCATCTCCGCCTCCGACAGAACAATCATGTCAATGTTGTGAATGTAAAGACATCGCAGTTTCCACATCACAAGACACAGAAACTATCACCGAAGGAAACATGGCCATCGACAAATTATCAGTGAAAGAAGCAACAGACGCCAAGACGGGATCGAATTATGCCACCGCCGACAGCAAAGACGATACGGGAAATACGAAGGCGGAAGCAATCTCTTTGGAAGCTGAAAAGACCCAAGGTAAGTTTTCTCATAATACTAAAACCAAGAGAAGATAATATGATCACTTGGCGTACGCTTTTTGAACAGCTTCGCGCATGACGTCACTAAGAGGCACATATTCTTGGCGGCGGTCAGTAAATCGTATCTTTTGCATATCTTTTGGAGCAATTTATCCAAATCTTTGATGATTTTGTTATGATTGGATCACGATGGACCTATTATTCGTAGATTAGGTGTCTTAGAATTATATTTGTGATGAATCAAATATTATGGAATGAGAAAATGAACAATATTATAACGCTTTATTTCACAGGATGTCATTTATTAATAAGGACACTGTTCATCATTGCATGTAAAGAAGAAAGAAAGTGATACCTACTTACTGAAAAGTATTTGTTTTTTCAAGAATTTTATTCAAAAGATCAAGAATGCATCTCTGAAGTCAATTTCTAAACTAATATAGAAAATTTCCTGCAGGCTCTACACAATATACTTCTACTCTAAAATCTACTGTCAGTAAAACTTCTAGTGTCTTGAATATTTTCGAATTGAAAATTGTTGCTAATCAGTATGTTTATTCTTCCCCAGAGTCGATTGTTCAATATCTCAATTTTATTGTTTATTAGTATTTCCAAGAGCACTATACTTCTACTTAAATCTAAATCCCAGTAGAATAATTCAAAAAGTATACTGAAACCCTACAATAAGCTCAAACTAAAAGAATATGAATAAAAATACCCATTTGAGTATATACTCGTTCACTCAAGTTATGTACTTTTTTTTCCAAAATCATTGTCCATTTCTTCTTTCACGCTTTTCCTGTAATTCTGTTTTAGGTTTTGGTGTTTTTGGGAGGTTGAGTGAAGGTATGGCATCAGTTTTCAATTTCCATTTATTCTTCGATAATTTCAAAAGTTTTTCTCTCAATCGGAAATCATCGTGTGAAAAATGCTGGGAACATATTCTAGCACTTTTTATGTTGAATGTATGCGTCTGGTAACATTTCCATGTTGGTTTTATTATCATGAGTTTTCTTATCATCACGTACGGGCGTCATTACAGTGTATGCATGGCCAAAAAATTTTATTGGTGACCAAAATAGTATATAGCTAGGTATATTATAAAATGGCCTGCAAATAAGAACGTTAAGAAGAGCAAGTGAAATTTATTCTGAATACTGGCTGTGGGTTAACCGAGATGGATATTGATTTATCGAATTCTTTTGTGATTTTCTCCTCGTTTGTCTAAATGGTCATGAGATGAGTATAATTTCAATATACTTGTATAAAAGACAATAATTCATGGAGTCTACTGACTAATGAGTAATAGATGTTTCTTTTAGATTTCTGAAAGAAAGATTTTCTCAACGCAGTGACAGATCTATTCGATTTTTCCTTATTACAAATATGTTGAATTCATATTCTCATTTTGATAGAAACCTATCAAATAATCTTCAGAAATTCAAAATACTCACTTCGATAACGAATACACGAAAATAAAGGATTTCTGAATGAACAGGAATTAATAAAGGAGTATCTCAATGAGGTCGAAGGTATATGTACAGAGTTATATACAGGGTGTTTCAAAAACCTGACCCCCTTGCTAGGGTTTGTTCAGTAGACAAATTTAACGGCATCCGTTTCCAGGGTACAAGGTGTTGAAAAAATGTTGCTTTTTAAATTTTTTACGATTATGTCGAAATTACTGGCAAAGTAGTGATGCAAAATTTTGTATGGATGTGTTTTGGGAGCTGACTCATGAATTTGTTTCTATATATCTTACTCTCATAGAGGGCGCTAGAGTTATACGGTTCGTACCGAGCAGTTTCAAACATAACTCTTTCGAGGTTAGTTTTTTCAATCCGAATTTGATGTGAACTTGAACATCATTGAATTCAACATCAAACAGGTAGGTACCCTTGATAAAACTGAACTGTTTTCGCAATGATTTGATTTGAAAATAATGAAGTAATAGCTGATGCTGGTTAAAATGAATTTTATCGAGATCGATTACCTATTTATTCAGATTCAAAAACGTTAACATTATGCTTGTGCTGGAGTTATTGATTGAATAAAGAATTACAAGTAGAAAATTGTAAAAAATTTCACAGAAACATAATATATTGAATCAGTTAAAATGTCCTCCGTTTCCACGAATTCACGATTTTATCAGTTGTTAGGTATCAATTGAGAGATGTTCAATTCTGTCTTGCAACTCTTGACGTGAATTCATCTCTGTAGCATAGAATTATCTTTGCTTAAGATACAACGAAACTTTGTGATCCATGTTTTCAGTCAGATTTGGTTCAATGTTATTCTTGTTATTCATTGTTTGATCCATAAGTTTAGCATTGGATATTTATTGTTGTTTTTGTTTTTTTATAAATAGGTACAACGAAACTGCGTAATACATAATTTTGGTCGAATTTTTTTCAATGTTATCTTTGAGATTTATTTTTTGATCAATAAGTTTAGCTTAGAAATATATTGTTATTTTCGGTATTCTATAAACAGGTTTCGGTTTTCTATAAATAGGTTTCGATTTTCTTTAAATAATAGGTGATATTTCTTCATAATTAATACTCATAACTCTAATATACATAGCTTTATATCGAGTATCGAGTTTCACCAAGTGTACCTTTTTGGTGTAGAATTGAATGATGTTCAAGCTCACCTCAAATTTGGATTGAAAAATCTAACCTCAGAAAAGTTATGTTTAAAACTACTCGGTACGAACCGTGTAACTAGCACGACATTCAGATATAAAAAAATCATTCGATGTGTCAGCATCCAAAACACGTCCATACAAAATATTATTACAATGTTGCTAGTAGTTCAGTTTTAATCTTCTCCTGAAGATGCTAACATAGTTAGCGAAACACGTGTCGAGGCGTTAAAAAATTGGTTTGGTTAGTGGTAAAACAGTGTAGTGGAGTAGTTTCCACATAAAAAATGTATGAAAAAAAACATTTCTTCTCCGATTGGCAGCAAATATTAATTATGCTGACACATATCAATCAGCAAAGTATTACTTTTCCTGCCTAGGCAGCAAAGTGGTTACTTTGCTGATTGATATGTATCAGCAAAATTAATAATCCATAAATCGTTTATAATTTCCTTCATATTTCATCCGAGACTTCTCCGGCAACAAATTCAACCCTATATTTTTTGCAACCTCCCTTATTTCTGGAGGTGTAAGTACTTCCAGGTCGCTTTCACTGTCCATTATATAATAATTCAAATATACCGATATTTCTTCGCACAACTGTCAGAAATTTCATGAATTGTCAAACTATAATTATTATGGACATTTCCATAGCAACCAACCATTCCAAAAACTGCGATTTCTATCTAATTTTATTTTAATTGAACACTACAGGAAAAATTAAGAGATATATATCATTATGAACAATCGGAGAAAAAATTATATGTTCAACTCGGCAGCAAAGTAGATTGACTGCCTAGTTAAACAAATAACTATTTTCAACAGCTTGTATCTTGAAAACGGATGCCGTTACATTTTTTCACTGAGCAAGCCCAACTTATTTTGCAGTGATCTACCTACTCTAGCAAGGGTATCTATTTTTTTTAGACACCCTGTATATCCATCCCCTATATTCACGTCATTTTCATCAAACAAAAAACCATATGCGTAAATTTTATGCCATAGTGAGCCCTTTCATCGCCATTATCGAAAATTTTACTGGGTATTCCATAAAAGCGTGACAAACCACAAATTAATTTTTTGTTTTTTTTTTAATATTCAATTTTTGGCGGGGGTTTATAATGGGAGAGTATCCCTCGAAAACGAAATTGTCATAGAACATTTTTTATGTAGGAATATCGTATCATTTGATTTGAATTGATATACAGGATATCCCATAAGTAATGGATCAAAAGAAGTGGGGTGGTAGGGGGGGTCATTTGTAATCAAACTAACGGTATATGTTGTTATCAAATTGTTGATGGTTCAAAAGTTATTTAATTTTACTGAAAAATGCGACCCATTCGAAAAAAGTTAATAACAAAAAGGCTGTTTTGAATATCTACATATGTTATACTATTTCGGAATCTGTGTTAAATGGGTAACTTCTTCTTATGATAGTAGTAGGGTAGTTATTAAATCTGCCAACGGCATTTAAAAATCGACTTGAATATTTCATTCGATGACGAGACTTAAGGAAAACAACATTGTTCTTAGGTAATTGATACGACGTAATACACATGTCATAAAATTATATCTGGGGAAAGGTGCATCCATGTGGATGAAATTTGTGGAAGGAAAATTCACAAATGTGACATAGTTTCATCGTAATAAATCATTTTTATAAAAAATAAGAAAATATTAATATCTGTTGAACCATCAACAATTGGATAACCACATATACGGTTAGTTTGAATGGAAATGACCCCTCCCCCTACCTCCCCACTTCTTTTGATCCATGACTTATGGGATACCCTGTATTATCTTGATTGAAAAATTATTAAGAATCGAGAAGATACGATTTTTGATGTTTGAATTGCTACCACATATTTGACGTAGTCTCCTACCTCGTGGACTTTTGAGATTCTTTTCAGGGTAATTTACATAGGCAAAAATTTTTTCAACTTTCTGTTTGATTCATTACTTGAGAATTGATATGCTGTTATAATCGATCATTTCCAATCTACTTAAAATATTTTTAGTCGTCCAAATATACAGGGTGTGTCAAAAGTCGGCACCAGCTTCCTTATTCTAAATAGCAGCAGGGTGCAAGGGGTGCAGACAATTTTATCAGCTTGAATTCTGAATAAATTAACTTTTTTGCTGTGACGTACCCTTCTTTAGATATGAACGATAAATATAAAAAGAACCTTCTACTTCGCTCACCTTGTAAGTTCGGGGGTTTTCAGAATTTTTACTTCCTATCTACACCGAACATATTCCTAGTCTTCAAAAAATATTGTCCTCCTCCATATCCTCTACAACCTGTTTGTTGACTGAACTATCAGTCCATCCAAACAAACTGAACTGGCCATTTCATATATTTAGGAACTCGAGTAGGTAAACCGTATAGCTACGAGTAACACATTGTGCTATTAGAGTTTGCTGAGTTATTCATTTACACTATTACAATGAATCCTATTACCGTTACATGTTCTCAAATCAAAGCAGCACATTGAAATACTATGATAGCAATAAGGACTTTGCTGAAAGGGAATTTTCTGCCACAGGAAGGTATACTGCTGTCCCTATCAGGCAGCCAGTCTGCGACAGTATTATTTTTTATAATAATTGTTTATTAGCTGAATTACTACTATAATGGGTTATATGCCTGTGGCTGCGAGCAGGTTCATCGTATAGAACTGCACTCACTTCCAATCGAGCTTCCAATAATACAACTGTCAGCCTGCCACGAAGATAATATTCGACGAACTCACTTGAAGCTATTCAGCGCCTACTTATTTTCGCTATTTTCCTGATTTCCCTCCTCTATGAGCATTTGTCAGACATCTTGCTTGCCGAAGACATGTTCAATCCAAATGAACTCAATATAAATTATATTGAGTTCATTGGTTGGCCCCAGTTGGCTGTTGATGCAAACCCATGTACAGGACGACAATCTAGACGACACAGCAATTACGAATCCAATCTTGAATCCAATTCAATATTCAAAATCTGAATCCGACGTACAAAATGTAGAATGAAAACATGTTTGAACGGTTAGAAGAATCTACTACATGTACCCCTTTGCTTTCGTATACAGGGTGTTCCGAAACTATTGTGCCAAAATGTAAGGGTGGGTAGATCTCGACAAAAGAAACGTTTTTTACTTATTAACCCATAGGCGCATGCGCCTTATTTCGGTACTAATAGGTATCACAAGAAAAAAGTTTGACATATATGTACAGTCGTATTCAATAAAAAAGCGTACAAGTATTAAAAAGAGAGGATTTCGGGATCCTAGTTCTTGGTGTGTAAAACTAGCTCAGCCAATGCTTTTGTGTTTTTGAGAACTTTGACAACTTTACTGTCAACATTTGGTATACAATCATTCCCGATAACCCGTTTTATGCAGAATACACGGAAAAAAATGGATAATAAATGGTATTAAAAATATAATAGTCATTATAATGAAATATCATTCCATATGGGACGATTACCTATGATAATAAGGTTTAAAGTAATTTTATAATGAAATTCTAGAATATTTTCTAATGAGTTCTAGTTCTTAGGATAATAAACGTTATTATAAATTTCTGATATGTATTAAAATGAATGTATTATATAATTAATCATATCGGGTAATGAAATTCATTAATACAGTATCATGACGTCAATAATACTTGATACTAAAATTCATCACTTATTCTAATAAGTTTTATAATATTATTTCATTAACTATATTATTTGGAGATAATGTGTTCTAGTATCCTTTTTATTGAATGATATTATAATTTTATAATATGTGATATAATATATAATAATCTTTTTGTTATAAAACGTATTATACTTTTATAATAAATTATACTATATTTTATTTTAACATTTTAAGACCGTTTAAGGTGTAATGAATAAAATAAATTTTCATATATTTCGAAACAATTTATTATAAAAATCCATCATATTTTGAGTAATATGAAACAAATACAAGTAGTCACTCTAACATCTGTAAATTGTCTTATTTGTCAAAATGGCAGAATACCTTAAGGTTACATATTTCTCAGATTCATTCATTATCGTATAAAGTAAAGGATACCTATAAGGTAAACAGTTTGTAGTAATCAAATTGATATCTGATAATGGCATAACCTTATAAGACATTAAATGCCTATCAAAAGTAATAGTTTGCATATTTTTGAAAATAAAGGCAATGTTCTGTTTACCATTGAAAAATATTTCTTCGATCATTCCAAAAATAGGACTATAGTTATCTTTCACAGATACTAATATTATGTTTCCTTTCTGAAATTTCACACCACGATATGTCACTGAGGGAACTCGAGAAATGTTAATCAAAAAGTTATTTTCAACCAATAAAATTTTGGTTCTTTCTTTAATACTACTCACAATTATATCTGGAAAATTCTCAGATTTTCCTGTTGATATTTTACTTTCTAGACCTCTACCAGAAATATACAGTTCACATGCTTTCAACTGAGATTTAATTGCTAAAGTTTTGCAAATGTTAGTTCTAGAGCTAACTACATTAGCATTAGACTTTAACTCTTTATGTTTCGATTCATACCTCATAGTCCACAAATGTACGGGTGGGCCAGTTTGCAATATTATGGAGGGAAGGTGTAACAGAAAGTGAAATTTCGGGGTGAATCGGGGAATATCATTCAATCTGAGAAAAAGCTTATGATGTTCAATTATCTTTTTTTCCAAATAATTCACAATTTCTTTGTCAAGTTCAAAACTGGTACTTATAGAAACTATTTCATGAAGCAACTGATACAGTTTCCAATAAATATTATTTTTTGGGATAAATGGTCCTAAAATTACACCAAAATATCTAGTTAAACATAGAACTTCAGATGCAGATAATCGAATTTGTTTATTCTTTATATTATCTAAAGAAATCAATGGTGGCTGGTTTTTAGACTCTACTCCATAATTGAAGTATTTGAATTTCAAATTAAATAAATCAAAACTTATATACTTTTTTGAAACAATAAGTTCATGTAAAATGAGTCCAAAAGTATATTTACAGACTCCTTCTAGTAAGTCATGCATTAAATCGCAATATGAATTGTCCATAATATGATAATTATTCACGTTATTGAAAATACATGATTCTTTGATTCCAGTTAGGCTTACATTATTCAAAGATAAATCAGCTTCATAGTTTTCTTTTGTTCGTCGTTCATCAGCATTAATCTTAGCTGATTTTAGACTTACATCTCGGTGGACTCTACAAAATCTGCAGAAGAAATTAGAGCTGAAGGATTGGCTGAATCCCAATAACATATGCAACCCAAGATTATCTCCTTGAAGTAAAATGAGCTGAAATTTCAACTTTGTTTTTGTATTACCAAATTCAATAGTTATTCCTTCAGTTGATAAGAAGTTCAGTTCATCAACTAAACGTGAAAATAAAATAGTGTTTCCGAAAGCTTTAATATCCATTGAATGAAATAGCATGCACAAAAATATACTACTCAATTTCGACTGAAATTCAAGAGGAATCAGGGGTACAGATGCATAAACAGCTCCTAATTTATTAATTCCTGAATGAGAACCTAGAGGATTTCCCACTTCGAATTCATCAAAATATATTAATAAAGGAAACACTAAATCATCAGTATTAGGCCTCTTTGATTTCCATAGAGATCCTTGAATAATATTCGAAAAATAATTTTGTTCAAGCCGCAGGTTTTTTTCGTACTCTACGCATATATCTAAAACTTTTTCCATTTGGAAAAAGCATTTTAAAGTGTGTCTCAAAGGTATGAATTGAAACTGAATGTCTTTAGTTTTCAAAGCATTTGAATTATTAATATTTATATGATGTCCTATTGTAACCTCTTCAGGCTGCAGGAATTTTTCAGATTTTTCAAGAAACTTAAACCGGAGATATTCGGAACTAACTTCGGAAAAAATATTTTGCAATGAATTACACATTTCAAGGACCATTACCTTTTCATTTCCATTGCTGAACTCAGAAGAATTTATTTTATTTTTGATATCCTCCAGAGGTAAAACAAAACAACTCTCAAAATCATTAATAATATCTTGTACCAATATCCTAGGTAAAGTCATTTTACTATATAGTTTGGTAATTAATACAGTAACTTGATTTTTTATCAGATTGTTGAAGTTTTCAACCTCAGCCAAATCTTCAACACAAGACTGATCCAAAATTTTTTTGTCTTTATATCTGGCACTGCCAACCTTTTCATAGGACGAAAGATTCAGTTGATTATTACCTCCTTCGGATTTATCAACAATTTCCGTATTAGACAATGTTGATTCAGAATCGGATTTTTCATTGTGTGTCTTGAAATGTTTTTTAAAAGAATTGATTGACAAATAAGATCTACCACAATTTTTTTCGGAACAAAGATATTCAGAGTTATCTGTAAGTTTATGTATTAATCTAAAATGCATAATAAGTAATTTTAGTGAGTTTATCTCCTCATGGCAAATAAAACAACAAGGCATTATGAAAATGTTACAAATAAAAAAAATCTTCTTTAACTAAAAACACAAATTGTTTGTTGTTTGTAAAAGTATAAAACTATTTAAACCTAAGTGAGCTTACTCATTTTCTGTCTAATTCTGTTAACAATGATATCAGTGCTTATGGAGCAACTTTGATCGGTATCCATATCATAAATTACCTTCTCAATACATTGCCAGACATGCTTGCATTGGATTTGATATTTCAAATCCAATGCGAAAATTACCTTGTAAGTTATATCTAAGGTTTTCACTGCACTCTCTGTTTCGTATAGGATGTCATTTATGATACAAAAATAAGAAAATGCTCCATCTAAACCAGAAACTAGCATGAACGGTTGCAGAGTAAAGTTCTTTTCCCTGCTGTGATTCTTCCGCGACTCAATTTGAATTGCTATATCTGCAGCATTCTGAAAATTAAAAAAATATATATTAACTCAATTAAAAGACTACAACTAGCGTGAATAAAAGCAAAACAGCTGTTGAGAGTCCTATTTTATTTTGACGAACATTACCAAAACACAAAGGACAGTGAATTCCTAATATAAATAATATGTTGAATTTTCAGAAGTATGTATACTATCTATCTATTTGAAAAAGTCATATCACCTTTAAATGAGAATTTGCATTATATTGAAAATTACTGTTCAGTATATATTTAACTAAGAACCACTACTTTCCTTAATGAAATAACACATATTTGACCTGCTGAATACCTTCTATAAGTATCTGAGAATAAAAATTGTCTGAAATTGAGAATTTGTAATCAACTTCAAAACATAAATATTATGACATGATTTCAACAGCAATCAAAGAGATGATACTTTAATCTTTAATGCATTTTCAGATTAGATGCCGCCATTTTATGTTGACAAGAAAATAAAAAAATTCATAGTCAACTCTTAAAAGCCTCTAACTTCATTTTTTGAGCGCCTGATGAAAAAAAACAGTAAAATTTATCTTGGATACAACAATGCTATACTATCTATATTGTACTTGAATACTAAATTTGAAAATCATCAGAGTCGAGATCAGAATACTCACTGGTACATATAAAATAAATGAGTTTTGAACCTCCAATTTACTGGGACGATAGCTTTTCTTCTCCCGAAGGGTAGTTGGTGAGAAAAGGAGGGCAAAATTGAAAATTACATCTAAATCTACAAAGAAATTAAATATGATCATATTTCAAATTGATACCTACTCATAACTGAATATGTATTACCTATATCTTCAAATTTTTGCTTCATCTTTTCTTCCTCCATCATACTGACGACTGCCGATCGAAAATGTGGCCAGTTTTTATACAAATTTTCACTTTTGCCTGGAAAACATTTGTTAAAGTCGTCCATGAGAAAGTTGTATCCATTAAGAGGATGTTTCAACATGGGAAAGGTATTGAAATACTCGACAATGTTTGAGTTAGTTTTAAGAATATCTTTCCTTTCATGGAAGCATATTCCCCAATTGAAAGTAACTTCTTCGGTAGGGCCCACATTATGTTTGCAATATTCTAATGCGAATAATTTTTCTGGTTCTGGGGCTTCGTTAGTGTCGTGTCGTGCTGGAAAATATAATCAAATTCTAAAGAGACAATCTATACAAATGTTTGAACAGTAACAAAGAATGATGTAGATAATTTTTTTTCACAATTTTTTCTAAACACAAACCTGATGCTGTTTGGGTCTTTGTTTTCACCTTCCTTAGTATTCCTAAGTTTTTTCTAGTATTAATATAGCGCGACCATAACATTCCACTGCATTTTTTTATACCTTTCTGGTAGGGTCGAAAATAAATATCCTTTGACTCCATTTTGAAGACATTACATATTTCTTGTGAGACTTTGTTGAACACAGTCTGGGGAATTCTGAAACAAATGTAGATATTGGAAGGTTATAAAATTTAAGTGAATTCGAGGATAATGAATTGAAATATTATCTCTCACACATACTTCTCTTTGAATTTTTGCAATAAGTGATCCATGACAATTCTGATCAACTTCTTTCTCTTTAGGGGTGTTAAAACTTCATTTCTGCTTAGTAGAAGCAAATTTCCTTCTGTATGCGACCGAAGGTAACTTTCTAAGCTCTACAATGGAAGTATATATAAGTAATTATTGTCAAACCAAATATTACTAATAAACTTATTGAAGAATAATTAAGTAACTTACATCTGGAAATATATTATCCGAAGAGGTACCTAAGTGAAGGAATCCATTTTCATCTATATCGATGTTTACCAAAGTGTTATCATCGATGTTGATGTCACCAGCAACTTCTAATCGCGCTTAAAATCAAATATAAAATAGCTATAAAATCACTAGAAAAGTATCGTTTATCCTTTGTGTTTTGGTAGCAAAAAAGGGTGTAATACTACTATAGATATCCCTCCGGAACCTGCATCGACTTGATATGGGAAACTTTAAGTAGGACCAATTGGAAAATCTGGCAGTATCTCAATAGGGATCATCTGGATAACATATTTAAAAAAATATGATAGTTTGTACATGCCAAAACATTCAGATTTCTCATAATTATGTATTAAATTGATTGATGCAGTTCCCGGAGGAATGCCTGGTATAATATGTCGACAAACCAATTCAATTATTTTTTTTCCAATTGATCTGAGTGAATTTCAAAATATTGTACTCATAACTCACCTTTCTTCTCTGGAGGGAAATCTATTTCTTCTCCTTGTACATCACTCGGTACATCAGATATAGATGATAAATCAGGATCGGCCACAGATAATGATGAGTTTGTCACAGTACTAATACTCTGGGGTGACGCTATTGTTATCAAGTCTAGTTCACCTAGCTAAAAATTTCACTTGATTATTTCCCACATTATGAAATTGACCAATCAGCTACCACAACTTTTTTCATAAATTCTGTTCAGATGAATTGTTAAATTGAAATGACTCGTGTAACCGCCAGTTAAATTATTTGTTGTTAGAAAAGTTATGCAGGAAATAATCCAGCCACATACCACTCGACCCGGGACATAAATTAAAATGGAATAAACTATCAAAATGTGTTCTGCATTATTGTGCTTTCTGACAATAATGTCTAGCTTTATACACAATAATTTTTGAATGAAAACCCTCGACAGCTTTGTGGTCTTAGAATTTTACTCAGAATATTATTTGTCTACGTTGAATGGAAGAGCAGTTGCCTTTCTCCATTGGAAAGAGGTGACTGAATTTCGTATTTTCTTCAATTTCAATGAATAAAGGCATTATTATTATTATTAAATAAGGGTGCATTCGACTATTTTCCAAGCAATATCCTCGGCAAAATAACGCCTAAAATATTTAAATAATTCCATCGATCACATCTTGTGATATAATATATATGATTGATTATAAATTAGGTCTTACAAAACCACAAATAACTATACTCATGAATAAATTCTCACCTCTTTCATGTAATTGTTGTATCTCTCACTAAATCTTATTCTTTTTCCCACACTTGGTATAATTTCTTTGATGAGTTCAGGATACTGGTTCAGTTTTTTGAATGTTTCCAAGTCGATATCATGCGCTGAAATAAATACCTATTAGTGCACTTAAAAACATACAATCTAATAATACGGCACTGGCCATCGTCTCTGTAAGCTGGCACGTTTAGCAGTCAGAGCAACGCCGCGGCGTCGCGGCGATCGTCATATTTTTTAAGTTCTTGTGGAATAGGAGGTACTTACATTCGAATGCTTCCGACAATATGGAAAGTCCAAAACTTTCCAATATATCTTTGACTTCCATTCAACAGTGAATTTACACACAAGAAAACGTAAAACAGTTTGTTGATCAGGAGTTCAGCGATCAGCGGCGAAGCAAAACGATATGTGCACTAGTTATGCGGTATTCACATAAAAAAAAACGTCTGTCCCTTTCAAAGGTTTGAGGCGGAATGACGCGTTCCAATAGTAAAATATGAACTAAGATGTCTGAAAATTTGGGTGCGTTAACAGTATAACCTTAGGTAGTAAAATGTATTAAATTATATAATAACCTCTACACAATGTTTGTGATAGAAATCAATTTCTTATTATATGAGTATATTAAAGTATATTATGAGGGTATAATAGAATATTATTCAACGTGAATAGGTTATATGTTTTACAATAAAAATAACATAAGACGCTCAATACATTATATTTTATAATAGAAACTACTACCCAGTTTGCATGATGATTAATTTTATAATACTTTATTATAAGATTAATTATATATTGCATTTTTCTTCACTATCAGAAAAATATCAAGAATGATATTATATCAGGATAATGAATTTCATGAAATTTATTATACACGGTATTAGTTATTTTTTACAATACAATATAATAAATTGATTTTTTTCCGTGTAGAATGACGTTAATTTCTCGACGTACGACTGTACATAATCAAATAATATCGATATTGAGTGCCCAGCTCTATCGATTTTGACGTTCGAGATCAATCGCCGCAGTTTAACATTATGCAAATACACGAAGAATATCGATATTGAGTGCTCAGCTCTACAGATTCTGACGTTCGAGACCAATCGCCGCGCTCCGGGCACTCGCATTGCGTAGGCTACTCATTTACTATTGCGTCGTGGCAATGTGTGAAACCTAACTTAATCTAAATTGTAGTGTTTTTTTATTTAACTCTCCCAAATATTCCTAATGATTTTATGTCATTTACTAACTCGGTTTCCGGTACAAACACGTTTCCCCGTGTCCGAGTTTGGATACCCCTGCGCGGACCTTGATGCGCTATTATCACTGAAGGCATGCGCCTATGGGTTGATAAGTGAAAAACGTTGTTTTGGCCAACCCATAAATTTTGGCACAATAGTTTCGGAACACCCTCAATATCTGAGTGCCTCAGTAATTACCAGTATTGATGGAATGATGAAGGTGAGTTCATTCAAGGTATTTTGACTG